GTGCAGCCGACGCAAACAGACCACGCGCGGCAGCTACAAACTCGGATGACGGAAGCCTTCTCGGAGGCGCGTCGCAATCTCGGGGTAGCGCGAGCGAAACAAAAAGCTCAGTACGACCGCTCGCATCGAGATCTCTGCTACAAAGTGGGCGATCTCGTCCTCAGACGCAACCATGTTCTGAGTGATGCCAGCAAAGGCTTCTCGGCCGCTTTGGCTCCGAAGTGGTGTGGCCCGTACCGAGTGCAGGAACTTCTCTCCCCACTCGTGTACAAGCTGACAAACTTGCAATCAAGAAAAGTCGGTGGGCCGGCACATGTGTGCGATCTGAAACCCTACCATGAGAGGGAAAACGGGGCCAACGAGCAAACTCAGCCCCCGCAAAAACATGCACCCGCAGCGCGAGATAACGCCGACGATGAACAACAGGCGTCTCGCTACAATCTGCGTAGACGGAGGAACTATTATCCGAAGTTTTCGTAGAGGCAGCCCCATTAAGTGGCGAAATGTTACATTAAGGGAAGTGCAAAGCACAATACACCTGCTGCCTTCGCGAACGCGCCAGACACCATTGTTTACTGGCAAGCAGTGACCTACATACGTCACCTCAGCGTTCGCTCCCGGATCAACCCGTAGGGAATCCCCCGAATACGGCTTCCGAGGGAAAGGGTACGCGTAACTGCCATTGGTCAGTTATTGCCACCTACGCTCACGTGTGCCACATGCCGACACAAGAGCGCGGTGCGAGCGTCGTCACAAGCGGTCGGAGACCAAGTGGTCATTCTACCGCAGTACGTTCCGCACCTACGAAGAGGACCTCCAGGCTTTGCTTCGCGCCGTTCGGGAGCTGCTGTCTCCTGGCCACGGCAGTTCAGCGGCGTCCAGGGACCGCAGCTGCGCGTGACTCGTCAGGCGGCCCCGCTACCCCAGCCGGCCGCGTACCAAACCAGCAACCCGTCGTTTTCGTGGGCCGTCAAGATCGACATCCGGCCAGGGACTGCCCGCTCATCATCTTCGGGACCCGCGCCGCGGTCGGAAAGCTCGCCGACCAGGGACCAGCTGTTCCCGTTCGTCCCGTGACAAGTCCCAAGGGCCCCAGGGAGCTGGCGCAGTTCGCCCAGCAGGGCTCGTGGGGCACGCACTACATCGGCAGCCGAGGGACAATCCACCGGGACCTGGCCGCCCGGAACGTGCTCGTCGACGAACACGGCTGCTGGGTCGCCAACCTCGGACTCTCCGGGAGCATTTACGGACTCCGAATCGGACGTCTACCACCAAAGGTCCGAGGGCGCCCTTCAGGTCCGACGTCTGAGCGTTAACGGAATACTGCTGTGGGACATTCGCCACTTTGGGCTCGACGCCCTACTCCGGCCTGGGCGCTCAGGAGGTGACCCGCCACGTGCGCGGCGGTCACGGGATGACGCAACCGATCGACTGCCGCTGGGAATTGTACCGCTGGTGAGGGACCGTTGGACGAACTTCTGGAGCATGGACCTATGAGCCGGGCTGTTTATTTTTTTTTTTTATTATTTTAGTCTTGTTGTGTGTTTGTGTTGGTCTACCCGTTTGCGGGTGACTATTGGCTAAGGAGGGGGGAGTGTGGGGATTGTGATCCCTCAACATTCTGTCGCGTCAGCGTTTTGGCGCGCCGTGGCGGCCGCGCTGGCGTAGCGAGAGGTGGCGCTGCTTACCACTGTGAGTGGCTTCCTCCTCTCCCCCCTTGGGGCGATTTCCGTAACGAACCCCCGCACAAAGGAGACGACGTGTCGCTCCTTGATTGGCCACTTCGCCCCCGCCGTTATCTTAAAACCAGCGGACAGCAGTCTCGCTGGTCTCTTCCTGGGATTCGGCGGCGGCGACAACGGGGACCCTTCCGGCGCACCGGTGAGCGTTTACCCCGTCCTTTGTACATTTGTGAACGACCGTTCGGCCGTGGGCGATCTCCACACCAACGGCGTTCACCAGCTTATAGCCGCTGTTTTGTTGTTATTTGTTTCTTTGTAAATAAACAGAGTTTATCACCGTTACCAACGTGACTGGTGTCTCATTGCGCTCGACGAGCAGCATGCCACGCGAATGAGAACCCGCTTCGCGGTAGAGCGTCTCGCCGCGAACGTGGTACTCCCAAAGGCAGTGGCCCCAAGGAGAACCACAAGTAATAACCCTGTCAGTTCTAAAGCGGCAGCTTTATAGGGTCAACCAGCCTCAGGAGCCGCGTAAGCACGAAGTGTGTAGGTCTGTCAGTCTGTAACCGTCAGACGATCTTGAGTAAAACGGCAACTGGTGCCAGTGATCAAACCCCGGTCACCGTGCTGACTGAGCTAATGTACCCAGCAGGCAGAAACGGGAGGAGCAGAGGCAAGTGGTGTAAGAAAGCGGACAGAAAGGAGAGGATGGAAATGGAAAAAAGCGAAAGGAGCAGAAACAGGGGGTGTAGAAAGAGTGTCCAGAACAATAAGAAGTGCAGAAAGAAGAAAAGCACTTTTTTTGTGTGATTCAGAAAATTGAGCGCAAAGGCCTTTATCCAGGTGGTGAAGAAGGGTAGCCGGCACAGCTTCACAAAGCAACAATGGTGGGACGTAATCTGTATCCATACAAAACCCTGCCCTAGGCACTGCCTTAACTAAAAACACCACTCACCCCAGGAACTGAAAGACTAAAGCTCATCCTGCCCCAGGGACCACCAGAACTAAAAGTACCACCTACCCTATAAAGCTACAACATTTAAACGCGTTTAGCAGAATGACCAAGCATGCAGCCAATTTCCTTGCTTGTGCTTTTGCAACCGCTCTTTTTCCATTCGACATAGCTTGCATTTAGTCTGCATCTGTTAATTGTAAGGTATATATTCGAAGGCCAGTTTCGGCAAGGATCACGGGAACGACTATGTAATGTTTCCAGTAGCTGTGAACGCTTGGAGTTCCCTGTTCTAGCCAATGATTTTTTTATGATGTTTAACTGCCTTAGGCCATGTGGAAGCGGTGTTACGTTCGCAAGCAAAGGCGAGCAAAGCGGAAGCTATATTTGTGTTTCTGGCATTCGTTCTGGCATCGAAATTCCTTTTTTTTTTAAGCGAAAAGCGTGGCAAGGTATTAGTGAACAACTTAGATAAAACAGGCAATGGAAAGATAGTCTTCCAACGTCAGTCTTCAACATTCACGGGTATTTCTGTTCTGATATATATATATATATATATATATATTCCTTATCTTGGTGATTTGAGAGGTTTTTTTCCTAAAAAACGAAACACTGAATAGAATAATATGTTCAAAACTTTTTGAACACCAAGTACGACATCTGCCCTCCAATTTTTAATCTTTATTTATTTTCAAACAAAATATATTGTTACATTTTAATGTAAACTCTCGCTAGATGCTCCACTTCTTTTTGTATTTCCACGCAGGTGGTTTTCACGCTGTTAACTTTAAAATTGCGATAATTTGAAATCAAAAGCTTTATTTTCTGAAATTTTTAATAAATTCCTACTAAATTATTTAAAAATGGTTGTGCATGAGCTGCAATATAGTAGTCAATCCGTATTCTTTTTCGCCAGGTACTTAAATGTAACCTTACGATTCCTTTCCGCCGCCTACCTTGCCATCCTGCTAACTGTTAAAATACAGAAAACGAACAGGATAAAAAAAAGGTGCTCAATGTTGGGGAGCAAAGTTCGCCAATGCTGACAGCAACCGTTTTGGGTGATTCATTATTTCAGAACGCGATTGAAGCCACAAGCAAGTTTCTGCCGCAATGTTAGGGTAACAAAGTTCGTAACGTTTCATATTCGGAGAACGCGTTGCCAGGCGTAGAGACCCTCGCTAGCAAAAACATCAATCAGGGTTTGCAGCGACATGGTTGTCGCACCACACAGAAGTTTCTAACGACTTTTTTCTCCGTCTTTTACGTACTATTGGTCCTCAAATCCTTAACACTGAACCACTACTTTACGTCATATGCTTACTCTACCCGGCAATACATTAAAACCATTCACTTTTAACCGCTTCAGGTTAGTTCATAAGGATGCGAATGGCTATGTGTTTGAAGTTAAGATGCTAAGCTCTTAGGCCACGTAAATCTGCGTCAGGGTCTACGATCAATGGGACACCGACGAATATAAATAAGGAGAACTGTCACAAGGTTGGTCTGTTCGTGGTTTTTTCAAATGTTATTAAAATAAAACTAGACCCTTAGTACGCTTGAAAGACATTCACTCCACACTGGAAATGAACATGGGAAAGCTATGACGATACTATTTACAACACAATTACGAAAAGTATCTGAGTCCGGGATCGTTTCGCAGGCTCAAAAGCGTCTAACGACCTTGGAGCTCGGTGGCTCCAATAGCTTCCGAACTTGTGATATGAATGGAAGAGATGTGGCTCATCCTACAGCGCGAAGACGCGTAGGTGGTCCAGGTAAGCGGCCTCAGCTGTGGACGTTAGGTTGCTGGGGATGAACGAACAAGAGACAAGGTCCGAAGTGGTGGAACCGGCAATCAGATGATGGTTAGGACCCCGGGGTTCAGAGAAACCTTCTGTGGCCAAGAGGAGACGCCATGGTCCTAACTGCTTCTTATGTGTCACGCCAACACCTGGACGGGTCGGCGCCGTGACGACAGAAAGTTCGGTGACACGGCGGTCGGTGCAAATGCTTTAATCTGAAAACCTCTCATATTCATCAACTGACAAATGCACACTTCTAAGTTTATATTTTGTGGAATATGCTCAAGCGGCCTTCAAACCGGACGTTCGTGCTACTAACATTCAACACCCTCTTCCTCAAAAAGTTTTCAGATAATGTATTGAAAGGTCAAAAGAAGATTTTGAGTGTTTCTGTGTCAACTTCCCTAGTCTATTTGGAGTCTGGATATGTTGGTGTGTCGTAAATTTTTAATTATTCAATATTCGCGCAGAACATCTTTTAATGCAATCCAACAAGCACATTCTCATGAGATCGCTTGCTTAATTTTGTTTTTGTTTCAAGTAAATAAACAGACAAATCGATGACCCAATTACTGACACATTTCAAGTATTTATTTATTCGCTTTGAATCAAAGGTTTCCAGAAGCTTAAAACACTTCAGGATGTTTCTCAAGAAAGCCAGGAATTAAATTTCAAGGCCTGAGTTGTCACACCAGCATCACAGAAGATACACACCCATTTAACATAAATCTATTATTCACCCCTATTACCAAGCCAATTTGCCTTCAGGAACTTTGCTTATTTCGGAAATCAGCAGACTACTTATCAAACACGTAAATCTGTGTAAACCCCGAATATCCCTGGCTGTAGCTCACGTCGTAGTTGTAGATCAGGGCTTTGAATTCGTCCTCCGGTGATGAAAACTTGTGGTCGTTCTTCCGGGCTAAAAGTTGAAAAATATTCAGCATCAAATATGAAGCATTAACAAAGGAGAATGTTGAGATTCTGAGCAACGGGATCTCTCGCGAATCGAGGGTTTATGTAATGTTTGCAATTAGGCGGTTCGCCGTAGTGCCAAGAAAGTAGGCTTTGAACGCAAAAATAAAATATCTACCTAATAACTACTAAACGCAGCATCAAGCAGATTACGTTTATTAGTTCAGTTAACTTTAGACATTACAGGACGAATGGCCCTGAGAAGACAACTTACACGGTCACACATTTAGTATTAAGATAAGCCAGACAAACGTGCCAAATTATAACCCAGAAGCGAGTAATCAATTCGAACGTACACAATTTCTTTAAAAAACATGCAAGAAGCACGTTCATTAGATATTTAAAACATAACCTGAAATCAAACCATAGAATGGCTCCAAGACTACTCTTTGGAAGGTGGTAGCTTTCCGATAAGCAACAAGGGACAAAAATCGAACTATATATATATATTTCCTGGCAAGAATGAGCTTTAGGTCGAATCCTTGACGACGTCGCGTTTGTTCCTTGCGGACAAACTTTATAACAAGATAGAAGCGAGGGTGAAGGCTAAATGTCTCAAAATTAGGAATTAAAAATATTCGTTTCGTTACTTTAATGCAATTAAAAAGACTGGATTATTTTCTTTCATGAGTGAGATGTAGGAACAATGTTTGTTTGTTTGTTTGTTTTATCATGGAATCTTAATTACTGTGTCCTCTTACGCTCCGGGAAGTAATTTGGCCATGCAAGCGATAGCTTCAGAACGTGCATTCTAGTAACTTGGCTTTCTGATTTTTCAGTTTTAAAACTGCAGTTTTCGGCGTAGTTTTACAAGGCAACCGCACAATACCGCTAATGAGCTGTCGTTTATACGCATGTGCAAAGATTGACTTTATATATCGTTATGTTTTACTTTACAACATGACGTATACCACCAGATCAGACCAGATTAAATGTTTGCACGCGTATAGTCTTTGTCCCCATTGCCTCCACGCACCTCGGGCGGTACCGCTACAGTACACAGTGTGTCGCATTTTTAATTCTAACTTTTTTTTGTTTTGTTTTTTCAGGCAGTGAGAGTTAGACGACGTTCCGTTTTCACCATGTATTTATCAGGCTCGGCGAAGATTAGGTTAGGGGAAAATCCTCATAATAAGTTGGATAATTAACCAACATCTGCTAAATACCTTTTAATTCTTAGTTTTAAGGGTCATGTTGCAAGTGCCGTATTGAGGATACTTACTATTAGAAGCCAGGCCAATTGAAAAAAAATTGCGCAAATGTCATAGCTTTATAGATATTAATTCATCGATTTTCACGTTTTTAGCACGACTTGAAAATTGTTCGGCAAAAGAGTGCCGGAAGCCCTGACCACAACGTCGCTTAGTAGAGTGATGTAGTCGATAGTCACGCCGCCATTTGTGTGGTCCCATTAAGGACAAGATGTCGAAATAGGGACAACATTATTGAAACAACTACGTCACTCTTCCAAACGTTGTTGTGAGCAGAGCTTGCAGCGCTCTTTTAGGCCAAATCTTTTATTTCCGGTGTGAAAATTTAAGAATATCTTAAAGGGATACTTCAACGAAATTTGAAATATACCCGTCGTGTTCAGAAATAGGTTGAATATGATCCAAAATATCCGTAAATGATAATCGCTCGTTTGTATTTTGAGCCTGGTGGCTGTATTCTTCGTTATAAGCGGCCCACTCTGGCAAGCGCTCGGAGAGCAGCCAGCGGAGAACACTTGACATCCGTCGCAATCGTGACGTAGTTCGTCTCGGGATGAGCAAAGCTGCGGCGAGGCTGACGTGGAGAGCATGTCTTAGTGGTTCCAACCACCGAAAAGGCTGCTTTTGTACGAATTTTGAGGGACGGGTTAATCTTCTTTAGTCTTGTAGAGGGACAATAGCGACTTCTGGGACACACAAAAGAGATTCTCGGGAAGAGGGGAGTTCCTCCTTCCCCTCTTCTCTCGTGGTGGCCGGAGGCGAGACAGTTATCGTCACTACCTGTAAAGGTTCCTAGACGGGCATTACAAACGAGGCGTTAGCGACAACCACCAGGTGCTTCTTTCTAATCGTTTAATTCGTTTTAGAATTCCTTTTCGTGTCTTTTTCAGCAAGAGATTGGTGTGTTTGATGTGATACTGCCCCCTTGAGTACGAATACTCAAGGGGCAGTATTTCGTTTTAGTATCCCTTTGAAACATATTTCCTTCTCGCAAATTCATTTAATTGGTATGGCCTCCAATATTAGATACCGTAAATACTGCAATTGTAACATGACCTCAAAAAGTATTCAAAAGTTAACATATTTTTGTTAATTAGACATATTTTCGTTACGATTATCCCCTGATTTAATGTCCGATGAGCCGAATAAAGATACGATAAAAATGGCACTTGTCTAATTTTCACCCATTTTATTAAAAATTTTCGAATTAAAATGAACCACTCCGTATAAATCCACCATGTAAATTAAAGATTAAAGCGTTATTTTGTCGTAACACTCACTGTGGGAAGCAAACGGAATGTGCTTTATTGTACCCGTAGTGCTCTCTTTATACATGGCTATATTACAGTGGCATTACTTTGGTTTATGTCACTTATAGTAATTTGAATGCACTTCTATTCATCTGAGAAAAAAATAATGTCAGTGGTGCACAAGGGGCATTCAAGTTGGAAAGATTTTTTTTTCTCCGTTTAGTATGAGCCGCATTTTAGAAGGTGTGGAATTTTATTGGGAATGAGCAAGAATGGCAGCAACATTGTCAAAGACATCAAACGCTCGTGGAGACAGTTGGTTCCACCAATGTCTTAAACACTAAAAATGTCGTTGTTCACCTCCGTCATGCAAGTGTTCATTAATTTTCTCCTGTTGCATCGGACGACGTCATCCGGCCTTTACGTCAGATCAGTGAAACTCACGGAAGACAAATCATGGACGTGAAAAATGTGCATTTCCGGTTGCGCCACTTTCAAGATGGCCGAACATTTTGCGATAGTGAACAGCAGCAGGCATCGACCAGGCGCGGCTGATCCAACAACATAAAACAAGTGTTTATGGTCTTTGGGCATTTTCGATCGACAGTAAAATGTACCACCTTCGGAATTGAAATTCGTGTAGAATTCATGTGGAAGGATATGACGGCGCCCAACGGTTTTTAGCTGTTTCTGATCATAAAGGATACTCTCTGTGGCCGAGCGATTTCAACGCGCTCCTCCGTTGCGTCAGTAATATTTCAGTGGTCTCGGCAGACGCATAGAAAAGCCTTCGTAGCGGACACGCCGTCCTATGGATGACGTTGCAAAAAACAAACGAGATGATTATGACGCTCTCCCGCACAAGGAAAACTCCCCCTGGAAGCTGGTTTGTAGCATTAAGTTCGAATGAACAATACTTTACGCTGTAGGCCTTCCGACTTCTATTCGGGCCGCGTAAGCTCTCCCTGCCTCATGCGCTTTCGGTAGGTACTTTGTTGAATAGTAAAGCTTTGAATATGCACCAAAGTGCTACATTTGTCTGGGAAGTAATTGATTCTATGGAAGAGCAAATTGCTAACAAATGTAACTCACATTATATAGCGAATTTCCGTGTCGAGTTACTTTGGTAAAGTAAGATGTCAAGAGTACTTGTCCACTGCCTAGTCATTAAGCCCCCGCTTTGATGTGACGTCATGCTGAACGTAAAAGCTAAAAACCATATTGAATTCCCCTGCTATTGTTTTGTAGACCTTAAGCTAAAACTCCTAGCTAGCGATTATTTTCTATAACAAATATTATACTTTGTAGATAATTTCTCAAACAAGTTGGTTTATTATTAATTTTTGTGAGCTGTATAATTTCTATAACTAATCTAGATGCCCGAGCTATAATGTACAGAACAACTTAAAATTTTAGGTCATAAAACAAACTCATAGCTTCAGACACGTTTTACTATTGTTACTACTCAATAATAGTAACATTAGTAAACGTGTCACAAGATACTGTTTCTTCTTCCGTAATTTTGTTTCTCTTTGTCGTGTGTATTTCGTTAACAACGTTCGGGTATAGTTCGGAATCCGGCCCGGAATCCGCCTTCAAAACGGGGACCCTCCCTAATGAGGGGGAGAGGGAGTGAGTCTCACGCTGATTGCAGCGATAACGTGGGGAGCTTTTGGTGGGTGGGGTGGTCCGCTCCGTATGCTAAGAAGGGTGCTGTCATTATGGTAGAGAGGAAGGGGGAACGGACGGGTCATTATGGTAGAGAGGAAGGGGGAACGGACGGGTCTCGGGAATGTGTGGAAGGGTTGGGGGGGACAGGTGGGGTGGGAGTGATACGACCTCGGGCGACCTCGTCAAGCGCTGTTAGCGGCCGAAAAGTAAACTTCAAGGCGTCTTGGCTTGACTACGCCAAATGGTTTAGCTCGGCTAGGAGAAAAATACATCGGCTAGAGTGACGGCGGAGAGCCGCGAGGGCGGCGGATGGCGCTTTCGACTTCTTCATGTCGGGTCGGATCTTGTTGGCTATTCGAAAGTGACGGCGCTGTTCCCACGACCGACAAACCGCGCTGTCAACGCGAACACGACATCGGCGATTGTGTGCATTTTATGCGAAAATTGTATTGTGTTAATTCCGTTCCAGTTTCACAAGTAATGTTTCTTTGTGCGTGTGGACGTGCTAGGGCTTGTGCATTAAACAACCCAGACTCCGGTTGAATGCGTATCGTCCCGTCGACCGTTTCACCCCGCGATCGCGTCGGCCGCTTTTATCATCATCCTCCGTGATCATCCGCGCGAAGCTCGCCTTGCACCGGTAGACGTGCTCAGTCGCCCACTTTGCCGATGGTGGTGACGTACAAAACCACCGATGAACGCACGTATGGTTGTCACGCAGCGCTCAGTTCCGCGCAGCCCATACATTTTACCAATGATCCAATACGAATACCCCAGAACCGCGCGAGACGGCAAAGCCCGCCGAAGAGCCTCTT